TAGGCTAGATGTCCATTATAAAGAGCTTAAAACTTTAGGACCAGTGCAGAAAAGCATTTAATCGATTAAGTAGCTCACGAATCGTTTCTTTTTCTGTGTCAAAAATACGCACATAATCAATTAAAACTCCCAAAAGGCATCGCTATCATCAACCTCATAACCTAGAAAAGACAAAAATACCAAAGAACCAATTACAGAAGACAAAAGGGAAACGCAATAAACCTAATCATAAGGCTGCATTCTAGCAATCTACGTAAAGGACATTGATTAATGATACGCACCCGGTTCTTTCAAATTAGGACGTTCGAGGCGCCGGTATCGGTGTCTACCACATTGTCTTGCAGCACCACAAGAATCTCTGGACTATTAATCATTTCGAACACTACCATGGTATTGGAACTCGGTAAAAACTCATCTTTGGATATTTTACTCAGCTATAGTATATGATAAAAAGTAACACATAGTGTGAGAAAACACATAGACAACTTTTCGTCCGGGTAACTTGGGCAAAGTCACTGACAGAATGTATTATATAATATTTGTTTGATTTCCTAAATTGAAGAATATTTTAATATTTAATCTAACTAATCAAGATATAAAAGAATAAACAAATACTATTTACACAATTCCAAATTTTCTCAGTTCTAATCAAATAAGACCTACAATAAAGTTAATTCTAAAGTTCTTTCAAATTTTAGCTAGGTTAAAGCAAATGAAACATCGTTTAACTTCCAAAAAACTCATAATTATATTCAAGAAAACATAACAATGTTAGGACGGCCTTGTGTAGAAATAGCTCGAGTAAAATTCCTATACAAGTGACTCGAAATAACGTACGAAATTGCATTAACTTTTCAGAACCAAGTAAGAAACATTGAAACGAGTCGTGGTTGGGTATTCAGTGATTGATAGCAAGTTCGCGTGTCCTCTGTAATCGTACCACACTCGGGCGCAGTCGGCTAATCTCGGGCAAGCTCGGGTGCATGAGACAGCGATATGTGTTGAATTAATGGTCCAGAAACTTCCTTGAAACCTCCAGTCTGGATAAAGTGAATTTTAATGTTCACTTTTATAGTGTAGCGGTGTTTTGTTGCATGCTTACTGTAAAGTTCTTGTATTGCCGCGACAGATGCAACTAACTGATTTTAGTGTCGCATTACAGAAGTTGATAACATTTTGTGCAGCAATTAAATTTGCATAATTGCGTGTGAATAAAATTAAAATTGCTAATTGTTTTATTTGGTAATTTAGCTATTTTATACGTATCACTTACATTATCGTTTAACGAGGTACCTCAACTATTTTCAAGACAAACCGGGAGTCCATAACTTAGAACAAACTCTTTGTTAATTTGTCCAAGGTTGTTAAGTTGCAAATCTAAACTCGAACAACATAATCCAATGTCAACTAATCTCATTAGCATCACATTCAATAATTAATGGACAGAGAAACAATTCAAACTAACAATGTGTTGAGCAGATTATTGTCAATTAAACAGAAACAAATTGACCAAGCAATCAGGCTGTTGTCTGAGCTGATACAACAATAATGCGGGACTCAATAATCATTATTTGCTTTGACAATCGAAGCTAACTGGATTGCTACGTATTTTATAGTGGCTCAGCTGGTAATGGTTAGAACAGCTGTTAGGTATTATGAAGTCGAGTAGCTTGGTTCTGTTTGTTTTATATTATTTGTATCAGACACAATTTGTGTCCTTTTGCCCAGTTGGTCGCATTAACCTAACCAGGGCAAAAAGTAAACTATTTGGTATTCCATAATTTATTCTATCACTGAATCATGTTGTCAAATTTCATTCGGATTTTATTAACAGTTTATCGTTTAACGTCAAATAGTAACAAATATCCATCCATATTAGCTACTGTTAGCGCCCGTAGACACGAGCGTTCGGCTCAGCGAGCCAACAGACCACCATAGATAAGTCTCAACAGAGCTGCTCTTCAGCCGGCGTTGCGAGGCAAACGCAATTAGGTAATACGACCCCGGTGTGTAGCAGAAGGAAAATGGGGTGGATTTCAGTCAGTATGAGTCTGACACTTCATCTCGCGAGATCTTCTAGGTTTCAAACCTACACCTTTATTCGTGAGAAGCGGGCGCCTAACCTACTATGACCACCTGAACCTTTCTGTTTAGTGCAGATAATCATCCAACACCTTCTCCAACCCTGGCCAAGAAAGAGTGTCAAACTCTTACCGGGTAAAAGCCACGCTGTTGCTTTCGAGCCGTGGCAGTCATTACGCGTTACCCGAAATCAGTACCTTATAAAAATGTTTTCCAATGGTGATATTTCATTGCTTGCTTCTAGTAAACCAATAGAAATAATAATTCAGAAGGTACTATGTCAACATTCCAACTCCACGAAATAATTTTATATTAAAAGGATTCTCGGAAATTGACAATACCACGAATTGCGATACTTAATTAGCCATCGATATTTAAACCACTCACAGCACCGCCCATTCCAATAAAGGGTGTAACACACCTTCAACTTTGAAACTACAAAGCTATTGCTTGTATAGTTACCGTACTTGCTTCCTCGCAAGTCGAAACTAATCTAAGGGGAACTAGTGGCCATTTAACAGCAGCCTGTAGTTAGCTTGAGGCACCTAAACAGGATTTCCGTACACAGGGTCGACACTCCTACCTACCACTACATCTACCTACATTAGGCTTAAATGGGCTTAACTGTGTTCACTTAGTCTAAGATCAAAAGACCCTGTAATGTAGATTTATTGTTTATTGTAGATTGTCTTTAATGTCCCTGGCTTACATAGATGACAAAAATATATGTAGGAAAAAAACGTGTAGCACTGTAGTCGGTTGACGTAGCACATTCGTAGAACCGCGTAGCGCTACTAGAATAGCTAGAATTAACTTTTAGAATTATGATGTCTCAAAACGGCGACAATTGACCGATAAGACACCCACTTTTTTTTAATTATCAGCAACGCCCAAAAATGGGTTAGTGACCAGATGAGTGTAATAATCTTCAAGCTAACTCCTTAGCATAGGGGTCAATGTCTACAATTTTTCTTTAGCTATTCACTATCTTTATATAATTATAATTCTTGTTAGTTTCATATCATACATCATAACTACATCTTGTGTACTAAGATCGGCACTTCTATACCAATTGTGTTTATAATATAAACAAATCTTAGCAAGAAATTAAGTCTAAGACAAAAGTTGATTCTAAACTAAAACATAAAATTATCATAAACTATTATACTTCATATCATACAATAAAGAGCTATACAAACGAATACTATTAAATTTTCGAATAACTTAATATTAATTGCTTTTGTTAGCAAAAGCATTAATATTTTTGGATTCGTTTTAACTTTATTTATAACTTATTTAATTCGTTTGACTCTAGTTAAGTTAATACTAATTCGTAGTTTAAGTAAAATAGAATATTAAAACTCAGTTAGACATATTAGTTACATAATTGGATTTGTCTCAAAACTTGTATCAAAATGGCTTTTACAAATATAATAATTACTAACATTTGCCGGCGATTTCGTTCAAATTTTTTGTTTAAAAACTATCCTATTTTCTTTCTCGAGTTCCATGCTATGTCTGTACCAAATTTCAAACAAATCGGTTCTTTAGTTTAGGCACGAAGAAAAGACAGACAGACAGAGTTACTTTCGCACTTATAATATTAGTTTGGGTTGGTTACAAAACTTACTGATGCAGAATTAAATTTTAGTTTAATGATGATCACCAGCTTGTATTATCAGTTAAATTTATCCAAAATAATAAAAAAAATAAACTTATTTATCAGCAACCGTAAATGTTCTAAAAATAAGCATTATAATGTGACCTCGTAAAACCAAGTAATAATAACAGCAAACGATGCTCTCCAGAAAGATCTTGCATCAAATAAAAGCAAGTTCCCCAAACTCGTAGATTGTCAATTAAAAGTTTATGATGTATTTTCTTATTGTTTGACAGCGTTTTTATAATCGGTTCGCTACCATCAAAATTTTGGCAATCACCAAAGGTACTAAAAGTTGCAAAATAAAGTATAATGTATAAGTATAATAAAAGTGTTTAATATTATAACTAAATACGAACAAAAACAATCTATAATATAATTTCTGAGAATATTTTAATTACAGCTGTATGTTAGCTAGGTATTCCAATTTCAAGACGAGATTGATTCAACAAGTAAGCGCCAATCAAAAGTATTAAATTTACGATTGGTTTATTTCACAGGGCCTGCTCGATTCGCTAACGTTTTCAATAATCATATAATCAAAATATGAATTCTAAATGCTCATGAATATTTTAAAGCCCAATCGTTTTCGTAAAAGAGGCGGTCAGGCCGTAATCGAGCCTCTTTCAGCTTCCACAAGTGTTTCTTTGCCTTAATTGCGTAACTGAAACCCACCTGTTTATTTACATTTCACGTGGGATGACTCAAGCTATGAGTTAACGTAAAGTTTGGGAGGGGTGAGGGAGAGGGAAGGTCGGGGGAGCGGAGCGGTTCGGGCGCCCTCATGTGGACGGACCTCTCACGGCCCACGGCACACAATTCGTTTGATGTCGCCAGTTGCTCTGAGCGCTATTTATGTCCCGCAAGGCCACCTGTCGATGATGACGCTATACAAGTGACGACCACCCCGTGCCAATGACACAGCCCATACACAGATCGAACCTTCAACTTTCGATATCACCTGAGTTAAAAAGCAATTAAATAAAAATTAACTTTCCCCAATTTTATTTTCTCTTACATTACTCGACTTTATAATATACAATCTCATTTACAGATACTCATTTAGGCTTTTTTTGTTTCAGAACGTAGCTAAACATATCTACGGGCTACAAAAATATGCCAACAAAACATGTGCCAGAAATTGGAATACTGGAATACAATGCCTGCCAAGAACGTAATCTCGAAATGGCTGCGGGCGAAACAAGGCAAACATAAACACTCACCATGGCGCTAGTGAGCAAGTGACTATCGGAAAAATATGAACGCGACGGACCCGGATGTACTAGTGGCAAGAGGCCAACTGGACGTCCTGTACCGGGGGGCCGAGTACGCACTGGATAGCGGTCGAGCAGTGGACGGCACCCTCGACTTCAACCTTACCTTCGATAACACCACTGTGTACAACGTTTCCACTGACCCGGAGGAACCTTGGAACGAATACATTAAACTACTTTATGACAGAGCACTGCTCGTCTCCTTCCTTCTCCTGTTCTCACTGACGACTGTCTTCGGCAACATGCTCGTGATCCTGGCCGTGGTGCGCGAGCGCTACCTTCATACTTCCACCAACTACTTCGTGACGTCACTGGCGGTGGCAGACTGCCTCGTGGGGTTGGTAGTGATGCCCTTCTCTGCGTTATATGAAGTGCTAGAACATACGTGGTTCTTCGGTGTAGACTGGTGTGATGTGTGGCGGTCTTTAGACGTATTGTTTAGTACGGCCTCCATTTTAAATCTTTGCGTGATCTCATTAGACCGGTACTGGGCTATAACAGACCCTATTACATATCCGATGCGTATGAGTGGACGGAAGGCAGCGTTCCTTATCGCGGCCGTGTGGGTGTGTTCTGGTGCGATATCGTTTCCTGCCATCGCGTGGTGGCGAGCCGTGCGTGTAGAGGAAGTACCAGACTATAAGTGTCCGTTCACGGAAAACTTGGAGTATATAATATTTTCATCGACAATATCATTTTATTTACCACTGTTTGTGATGGTGTTCACTTATTATCGTATATATCGTGCAGCGACTATTCAGACGCGGTCCCTTAAAATTGGCACTAAGCAAGTGATGAGACCTAGTGGTGAATTAGAGTTGACGTTACGTATACATAGAGGAGGGACTGTGCGGCAGCGGAGTGACGCGTGTCACGGAGTGTGTACACCGGAGGAGGCTGACCAGGAGCCTCTGACGGCACTACAGAATAATGGTTTGTCGCGTTCCTCGACGCGACTGACTAACGTGACGCATGGAAAACATCTGCCAAAAAACTTTTCGCTGTCTCGTAAGTTAGCGAAGTTCGCCAAAGAGAAAAAGGCGGCTAAGACGTTAGGTATAGTGATGGGTGTGTTCATAGTGTGTTGGTTGCCGTTCTTTGTGGTGAACCTGCTGTCGGGGATCTGCTCCGCGTGCATAGCGCACGAGGAGATCGTGAACGTGGTGGTCACGTGGCTCGGCTGGGTCAACTCTTCCATGAACCCTGTCATCTACGCGTGCTGGAGCAGAGACTTCAGAAGGTACGTATAACATGTAATATAACATAATGTTAGTAAGATTCCACAAAGTATCAATTTAGACGGATTATAATGATGGAGCTGTGATCGTTTGTTAGTGGTTCATAATCCGGTGTTGCCATTCAACTGTCGTGTGTTAATCGCGGCCGATGATAATTTCGAACAATAAATTCATATTGAATACGACAAGTAAATGTAGTACAGAATCGTAGTCAGCTACATTGTTTGTTAACAAAGAAATGTTAATTGAAACATTTCGTTGAAGTTTCCTGGTTCCTTGTAGCGAGGTTCGTGTCTCAAGTTTTTTATTGACCACTTAGTTTTATAGCCACCTCCAAGAGACGGATTATGTTACAAACAATTTTGTGGGAATTTTTGCGGTGTTGATACTTTCATTTTGACTTTAAAAACCACTGAAAAAGGCGTAAAATCTTGGAAGAACTTTGTTATGTTCTATTTTACAACAAAATGAAAAATAAGTTCCCCAAGAATTTAATCTGATATTCTATAGTCTTATATACTCAAAGAGGTCAGAACGGGAGGGATAAAATAGTGTTACAACAAATCACTTTATACACATATATATACACAAGTAGATATATTATTTATTCCTCAAACTATACATAAAGCTTCGATACACAAAACAAGTGCATTTTCCAAAGACTACAATTATAAAAATCTAACAACTAATCCGATTGGACAGTGACATATCACGAACATAAAACTCAAAGACAAAAGTTCAATTAATATGACTTAACCATAATACTCGGAGTCCGACAAATTAATGACACATAGTTTGTCCAGCTACAAAAATATAAAGCTATATAGTTTCTCTGTGAACACCATTTTTATACATTTGTATAGTCATCTGAGCTGTACGGCGGTTGGTGAGTAATTTATACAAGATATTTTTAAATATCAATGCCTTCTTTTAGGGATAGGCCACTTCAGACATAGCACTGAAAATAGATACCTTTGTTTACATATAAAAATTAATCGCAAAATATTTCGTTGGTTAGCACATAATTCAATAACGCCTGCATAATTTTTGCCAATTGTGTTTGTCATTATCAGAAAATAATTGTTAGGAAAAAAAGTATATTAGAAAAGTAGAGGAGAAAATTAAGAAATATCAAACTTTTCATCGTTGGCGAGGTTGCTAGATACTCCTACGAACTAAGGCGGCCCCCCAACAGAAAAAAACATGCACAATAAATATTATTTTGCAGTTTAAGTGTATTTACAAAATCACATAAATCTGAACCAGTGTGTGTGTTTTTTACAAACCAGCTATCAAAGTTTTTGTCTAAAGACTAAACACTTTACACTTACCTAAATTAAATTTGAAAGAAAAACATTAAACAAAGAACGGAAAATATTATTTATAAATGTGGTTTTAAAGTTGAAGTTACAGACCTTACAGTCCGGTATAAATTAAACTGTAGCAACATTTGGAATACAAAAAAGGTTGTTAGCGGTACACAGAAGCCCAGTGGTGTAGTTACAGAGGTTCATGTGGTTCATTAAGTCTTTTCTGGAAAATACAGAACTGACAGCGCGAGCGAATAGTCAACATTTCTTGTGCTAAAGTTACGTGGATGTAGCGCAAAGAAACGAACCCCCTTTCTAGTTAAAATACTCATTATGTAATCTAAAATGTGTCTTATTACTGGTAAATAAAATGACAATTACAAGCTTCACACTTACTCACAGAAAACTGGCGTAAAATAACCACAGCGTTTTGTTTCACCGTGTGAGTTAGGTTACCGGAGTCCCCATCCTTCCCCTCCCCAAATCCCTTAAAAGGTCGACAACGAATTCGTAACTCCTCCGTTGTCCAAGGGCGGCATTGATTGCCTACCATCAGGTAATCCGTCTGCTGATTTGCTGTTCTATCACATTTAAAAAATACTTTTTCTTACTCTATGAGATTTTTCGTATTAATTTATCAGAAAATGTGTTGAGTAATCATTTTAATTACTTTTGTAATCTGGTTTGAATTTGTAGTCTCAAATTTTATGAACCGAAACTAAACATTTGGACTAAAAAGTTATTCCACGATTCCATTATCTTTATTATCTGACACCAATTTTGGGGGTGCAGTTAAATAATTCGTGATATCGAAATTGCAAGTCATAGCGCGGTGTCAATTACAGTAAATTCCAGGGGATCACGAGACGTGTGCGCGAATAACCGTGTCTGGAATAACAAAGTGGTGATAAATCATGCGCCCCTGATTACAACATGGATGAACCCCCCCATTAAATCATTTACACTGACGACTTTTTGTCACAAACGAATTAGATGTATAAGCAGAATAAATTGCTTTTATCTCGGAATGTTTTGGACACGCATGACTTTAGCCATGTTTTAATTTTAAACCGTGTACCGTTTATTTCGGTTGTATTCTTACACATATTATGTACTAGCTTTTGCCCGCGACTTTGTTCGCGTGGATTAGTGACTTCCTGCAGGTTTTTAACTTAAAAACTATCCTAATGACATATTAGGATCGTTTTCGAGTTCAAACTATGTCTGTACCAAATTTCACATAAATCGGTTCAGTAGTTCAGGCTTGAAGAAAAGACAGACATACAGTTTGGAATTGGCACAAAAGATAATTATCTTGTTGTACCTGTATTATTTCACCTAGTATCTATAATACAAGTATTGTGCAAAGATCAATCAAACAAGGGAAATAGTTATTAGTTAATTTGTATTTTTATACTAACTTCTTAAAGGGACTACGTCCAGTAAACATAATTATTAATTAAAAATAAAAAAGACATATTCTGTTTTCATTGACCTTTCAAATATGTATATTCGCTGTCGCTGTAATTAGTACATGCCCAGGCCAAACCTGGAAACCATTCAATCACCTCCCCTTGATAAGAAGTTACCCTTGAGAAGAATTGTTTTCCACGGAATCGCTGACAGGCGTCAATGTATTAAACAAAAATCTAGTAGTAGTAGTATCTACTTGACTAGAAAATCGAGCTTCAATAGAACTGTCTTCACATGAAACTTAATAACAAAACAAATGATAAAGCAATAACGAAAACGAAATACCTTTTCCGCAGCTAATGAAAACAAACAAGCACCACTCTGTTATAATGTAACTTCATAATCAAATACACACAAATCATTTTAAAAGCAAAATATAATAAAGTATAAAGGCTCGTTCACGAAGACGCGCGTTGGAAGTTCGTCGTACATTGCTCATATTATTTATTATATTTGCGTTCGTACGGGCGATGACGCGGCGACCTACTCCAATATACTAATAAGGTCTTACGATCCGAGCAACGCGCCGCTTCTCAGTAAAGTGTGGAAGAGTCATGCTTCGGTATAGGCCGGCTCAACCGGAGTGTTACCATGGTCTCACCGAAAGCACAGTGTTGTGTTTTACAGTGTGACTGAGGGATATCCGAAACCCTTATTAAGCACACATAACACCGTTGGTGTTGAGGGTGGCCATGGGCGTCGCTGATTTCTTTCATCGTTCGTCATCAGCCTGTTGTCGTCCACTGCTGGACAAAGGCCTCCCCAATTGCACGCCACTGAGCTCGATGTTCAGCTCTTCTCATCCAACCACTGCCAGCCACCTTGCGGATGTCGTCAGTCCACCTAGCTGGCGTCGGCACGTCTAGGCAAACGTAGTGTAGGGCGCCCCCCTATACAGTGTACTAGTGACCATGTAAACCATTTAGGCTAAAAAGTCATAAATAATTCTTCACTTGCAAACAAAAGACAACTTAGTATATAGGGAATTGAGGTGCAATTTAGTTTTTGCTTGTTGTGGCGCTTATGGTTTAGTTTTTTGTGTGTGAGATGTTAGTATTGCAGTTCAGTTGGAAATTCGTTATCTAGATCTAGATTACATACGGGTAAAAAGAAGTTGGTAGAGCTATATACATATGTATATAATGTAGATTAGTACAAAATAAATGCATCGTTGGGGTTGTTACGTATTCGGCCTTTTTTGATATTCATCTATACGCTAATGATTATTCGAAACGTGAAGTATACGATTTAATATCTATGAACAGTCCTACGAATACATATTATAAATGTAAAAGTTGTACGGGTGTATGTTTGTTAGACTTTCACGCTAAAACCGCTGGTTTCGGTTGTTTGTTATGTCGATAGATGATACCCTGGATTATCACAGGCTACTTTAGCCTTCAGTATTCTTTTTCTTTACTTTATTGGTATTTTTATCCACAAATGTAGTAAATCTATGATTTATCATAACAAAGTACTCACCTAATACAATTACATAAATGTATCTACAATTTTTTAATAATAAAAATAATTTCATAATATTTTCATCATCAAAACATTATAAAATGTTGTTTATTACTGCATTCCTCTCCCTCACTTCCTCTCCGCTCGAATTCACAAAGTTTATTTTGACCCCTCTATAGAGTTCGTGTTTAACAACACCCTGTTTATGTACGACGGAATTTAAAAAGTTTTTTTTGTTATGTTGAAAATTTTATGGGGACCCAGAGCTTGTTGATGCAGTATATTAAATTACATTAATTTTTCTTTCGTCTGTTTGCGATTGTCAATTTAAACGAGGACTGATAAGAATATTTAGTTTTTAGTTAATTTGTTAATGAAGAAAAGAAGCGAATACTAGGTCTCTTAAGAAGACTCTTATTTTAGTATTCTCTTAATAATAAAACGTTACACTAATAAATATGACTATTTTTTACTAACACACACTAATAACAAATTCCGTGTTGGTCCGGAAATTAAGGCGACCGATTCTCACGCATGAGGACGCGGTTTCGAAACCAGGCAAGCACCAATGTGACGATTACTGAGCTTTACTATGTACTTTCTAAGTTTATTTAGAAGCCACTGATATACTGTAAAGAAAACTTCGTAAAAAATCTGGACAAATACTTAATTTCTAATTATAAATTCGAAATCGCATATCTGCTTTGGGCAAACGTGATACCTAATGTTCAAACTCTCTAAACCGTCTTTGGACCCGCATGTGAC